AACTGCACCCGATTTGTACTATCGGGTACCCGATTTATACCCGATCTATACCCGATTTATGATATTTCGACCAGTGTACACTACTATCTGTGATCGAAGCATGTATTCGAGATAACATGAGATGTAGAGCCAAAGTGCCATTTATTATAAAATAGGTCCATATTGTATCTCAATTAAGTAACAAACAAAATTTTGGGAATTGCTGATTATTGGTGATATACACATAGATGATTTTATGGATGAGTGATCACCTGATGCATAATAATTGACATAATAGTATAAAGTCATCATATTTTGTGATCCTGGTAATTTATTACTTTAATTTAGTATAAAAAATAAAGAACTAATTCTATGAATAGCTGATACTGAATTTTAATGTATAAAAACATGTCGATATTACTGGAGTCTCAGGTAAGGGATTGAATCATACCAAACATCAAAATCAATAATTAATCTTACAATAAATCAAACAAACAAACAAATATATCAAATTACCTATTGTGAAACAATTATCTACAAAATGACATACAATACATCTGATAGTTTTTTATTATCAATTTTCATTGCCATAATCACGATCCACAAATTATATGCTTGGGATATCTTGACAATGGGGATGTTTCATATGATAGCTAGGAAAAATGTAACAATGTACACAATCCTTGTAATTTTCTTATTTATAATTTGAAAAAATATATACACATCGCCCAATACAAAACCAAATTCTTACCACAATAAATGTGAATATAAAAGACTTAAAATAGAATATATTGACTTTAAAAAATAATATGAATAGAATTCAAAATGAAATGGAATGGAGAAGTAAAGCCTGAAGTCAAGGTTAGTATTACATTATGTATCAGCCGAGTACTGGTTTACACCAAAACACTAGCTTCACTATAAACTTAACAAGTATTTCAGATATCTATTAACACATATTCCATATCTAGGGCATATATCTGTACAAAGTCACACATCTGAATATTTCGAAGGAACTCAAACTCTGTGAGTCAAATTTACTGCGATATTTAATGAAAGAAGAAAATGAGAGAAATGTTCTTCCACAAAAATGTATAATGTTTTATCTGAAGAAATTAATCTTAGTCCTGTGACACTTGCAACTTTTTATCATCACTAGAGAATATCACAATGCACCTCATTGGATAAAATCGAAGCCTGGGTCGAGAAAGAGAATCAGAAAAAAGATAATTAGTAATAGCAATAGAAACAATTTTTTAAGTAGCAGTAGTAGTAATACCCATGGTAGCTCTGCTATAATTTTAAATAATAATGACAATAACTTAGCTAGTAATATGGAGTAGGAAAAGGAACTCTCATTTTATGGATTAGGACTCGAGATGTTCCTCCCTTTAAATGTCCATTACTTCACGAATAATTTTATAGGCCGGCCCTTTAGATTAACCTTCGGTCTTCTTCACTTATATCAGTTTTCACTATAACGGTTCTTACGAATTATCTTTATTATATGATAAAGGATTTTGATTAACTGAGAAAAAAAACGAATGAAAGATAAAAATAAAAATAAATTTTTGTATTTTACAAAAGAAAAAAAAAATACAGCAAAGTTAAACTGGTTCTGATCAGATTAGATGACCAGTCTTCACCAACTCGTCATCTGAGGACCGCACAAAATTTGATGGCCTACCTTTACAAGTAGAAAGTTCACCGTCTGATGGCAAGTGAGATCTTCCTACTTGCACTTCTATTTGCTGATCACCTGAGGGTTAACCAACAAACAGAATTGCATTGTGGGAGTACCGTCTGATGACAAGATGATAGTTCCGCCTTCGCACTTCCAGTATCGTTTACCGTCTAATGACCAGCATGGACGTGTGGGTAAAGTGATGTGGCAATTTAAAAATGAGAAAAAATTTAATATAGTCTTGTGTTTTTTCATAAAAAAAGTTTTCGAAAACATGTCACTGATTTAATTAAGTACATCAATTAACAACGTGATCGATGTGACTTTTGTTATCGCGATTTTTTCTGTTAGAGTAAATTAACTCGCTATGCTTAAAGCGGTTTATAAAGTCCATGAAAAAAACTGCATTGCAGAATGTGAACCTCGTCTTCTTTCAACCGCGCATTTCAAATTTCTGGCCAGTTCAGATACATAAAGCGTTCACGTTTATTTCACAATTGAGAAAGTATCTTCATGGTATCTTCAAAATTTTATTGAGTACACTGTTGATTCCGGGATTAACTTCGAAAAAGCGGTCACAATATTTAGAGAAAGCTTAGATCAATTAAACCAGTTCGCGGCCACACTGTTACTAGTGACCTTTTGGGCTAATTTTATTTTCCAAAAGGCAATTTACAACTAGCAACTCGTAAACAGTTACTTTAGTTTACGA